TGTATCTAATTACTTTATGTTGATGATTCCGCGTTAAAAAGTTCTCGAAAAACAATTTACTTTTTTAATCGATATATATTTTGTATTCGACAGTGTTTGTGCTGCATACTCCACTCATCTAAATTTTAAATGCTTACGGTGTTTTCTTAAGGGGCCTGCACGCGACCTGTTTTTTTGCTCAAAAACATGCCTTACAGGAAAAACTCTCACGCCTCGTAGATTGGTCCGATTTCCGTAATTTTTTTTTGTTAGATAGAGGAAGACTTCTTACAGGGCGCATTGGACTTGGATTTTCAACATTATTTTTCTAAGTCTTATGTTACAAGTTTGAATTTAATCAATTTTTACAACTTTTTAGTTTTTGTATTATTTTTTGTTTTTAGCGACGTAATCAAAAATCGAAGTCCAATGCGCCCTGTAAAAAATATTCCTCTATCTAACAAAAAAAAAAATTACGGAAATCGGACCAATCTACGAGGTGTGAGAGTTTTTCCTGTAAACTGTGTTTTGACCGATATAATACACCCTATCAACCCCCCCTAAATAGGTATTGGGTAGTAGATTAGTGGAAAAGTCTTATAATTGAGGTGGCAACTAAAATATAAAATTTAATTTTCAAATTTTATAGAATTGCGGAAAATTTGAAAAATCGCGAGCAGGCCCCTTAAAAAAAATATGCTGTTTTGAATACAGAAACAATGTTTGTCATAATCAGAAAAAATAAATTAAAGTACTACGATAAAAATTAGATTTGTTTGTTAGATAATATAGTGCAATTATGTATTATACGCACATCAAATTAAATTTAAAACAAACGACGTATGTTCTGATTGAAACAATGTCATTAGGTATTAATTACAAATTGTTCGAATATAAGAATACATTGCAATGTTGATTTTTTATTTCATATTTGAAAACGTCATATTCGATATAATGGTACATTTTTAAACCTAATGACCGATTTCACATGGTATTTTCGTAAAATATTTGTGCAGGTAAATACTACTTACCTATATTGTTGAACAAAAGACTTCAAATAACCTTGCTATTATTATAAATGACGTATAGAAGTAAAAAATTCTGAATCTCTATTGTAACGACTGCTCTAAATATATCTTGTACAGACATTATAGATATAGTATAGGGTTCACGGCTAACATTTAATACCGACAATAGATTATAGAAAAAGTCGTATGACTTACGATTGCCGAGTGGTTGGTAGCACAATTTGACTGTTATACAGAGTGCTGTCGAGTTGACCATACAGTGATTAGTTTCATGTAAAAGTTACAATCGAAAATCTATTTTGCCTTTTGAGATGAAGATTTTTTCAGCTTATCTATAGTAACCGGGTCACCTGGTAACGTTGATTAATTTATTGATATATTGATCCCTTACATTATTATTTGAATGAAAAATTGAGTTTTCTAAGATACTTTAAACGTATATTATTATAATGGTTTAAGGGGATATACTATTGCATTGAGTAATCGTAATTCCTGTACCACAGTTGGAGCTGGTCACAATAAATTAGTCTAAACATATGCATGATGCTTATTTTATTTTACTATTTTACTATATTTTAGATAAGAAAACACATGTATTCAAATACACTGTTGTCTGAAAATATAAAATAATGAAAAAAACTGTACGGTTTTCAACTAATACTTTTAAAATTATTTTGAGTAAAATTAATTTTACAAATTGATGCGAACATTTTTTGTAAAGTATAAATAGTTAAAACGAATAAAATGCATTTTTAATGAAACTCGTAATAAGCCATAACTTAAAACAATAATATAGTAAGTAGACATACTGCAAGTATTAGTAAATTAAAGAGTGAGGTATTTTTCCACGTAATTATTCTAAAAAAATAATAATTCATAAAGATGTTGGTAGACATTTAGTTTATTATAAAAGTACATTTTTTCCACTTTATGTTTTTGTTCCTAGAGTATAATACTTTCCTTTTAAACGCCCGTTCAAGTAGTACACCTGAAAGAGTTACAGCCATCATATTTACGTGTAATTTGTGTTCATTTTTCCACGCTTTGAGAAAATCAATATCAAACGCCTTCTGATTTAAATAAAAAATGGATGAAACTACAATTTTAAGAAAAATAAAGGAATAGAAATAAAAACATAAATGTATTTGGTGGCGTCCATGGTTTGCCTGTACTAAACTTGCCTCAATACTTATAACTACAACAAGAAAAATACATATTTTCATACCATGACCATATTTATTGAGTGAAAATCACGTTACTTGTAAATTAAAGTTTATAGTATTACACCAATGCTATAACTACATACACTTATAGTGTTAGTACGTGGTAGTGTGTCCTACCGAACCAAGTTCACTGACTTACTGTATATTATACGGTCTCGCCCTTATCTCCCTAGTGCGAGTGTCTATCTTTTATGACCTTTATAATATATTTATAGTGTTTCGCAAACATTCTCCCTAGGCGTATTTTAGATATATTTTTTTTTTTATTATCTGTTTCTATATTTTATACAGTGCTCATAGGCACACATTATTCGTTTATTTTGAGAATATTATTCATAACTTTATGCTGTACAACCGTGTTTTTATTAGGTACCTATATAATATTATATTGTATTTTCCATATTGTAGATTATCAATCTCCATCATGAACTTATAACTATACGAATTAATATTAATATTGTATGGTATTATATACACGTATAATTAAGGCTAAGTATAAAATATGTAAAATCGTAAAAAAAAAAATAATGGCTCTATAAAAAACGTATTCCAAGCCATAATTTATATATTATTTTATGTGAGGTTTTGTTATCAATCCTTAACCTTTAAATAAGAAATGAGTGGTTTATATTCAAGATTTTGCAACTATAATACAGTGTAACATAAATAACCATAAGAATGAATTGTTTGAATTTTAATAATATTCGTTAATGTTTTGTTGCCAACCCGATTTTTTTTTTTTGACTAAACTCATTATTTTTAAAAAACAAATTTCGCAAACACCGTGAATGTTTATTTTACTTTAATTAGGCATTCTATTGTCTAACAGTGAATAAATATACCAATCTTTTAATCTTTTTCCACATGGTTTTAAATTAAATAAATTAGATTCGAGTACATTCAGTGGTACAATATTATCCTTGTTATAGGGTATTCATTCTCGGTGAGTTCGGTGGCAAGGCATTCGGGATATTACGGAAACAAAATAATATAATATCATAATATTATAAACCCTTTAAAAATCAATTATGGCAAACGAATTAATTCCATGGTAATAAACCAGACAAATTCAATTGTATAGAAATAAAACTCTGCGTGTTATATTTAAGCTGTAGTTAACGGTCACGATGACATAAATAATAAACAATCGTTTTTCGTGTTAAATTATTGTACTATGTGGTGGACACAATAAGTTGCGGGTAAAATTTCCCAAGAGGATTTAATTAATAAAATATTATACCTATTGCATGTATCATTTTTAATTATACGTTTATTACATTGAATTATAATTTGATCAAGACAAAAACAAAAACATAACATATACTGATTGTGATTACTGATATTGTTTCTTATGTACAAAACGGTGATGATAATATTATTTATTATTTAATTATGTTATAATGTTATATTATTTACACGTTACAACGACACTATATTGGTCGGAAGTGATCGACACAACAGAAACGATAATACATAATATTATATTTAACACTATTATTATTATTATTATTATCATTATAATAATATATTATTGTAATAATCTAAAATATGAAACTCCCGACACGACATAAACGATTTGTTTTCAAAAACATAACGACATCGATAATAATACACAAATACATAATATTACACATGTATAGTATTATTTATATTGCAAATATAATATATTATATGAGTAATATAATATAACCTGCACTGTACACAATTATTATGAGAATACAAACAGCTATAATATTATATAGGAAACATTTATATACAGGTCACAGACACAAAACAAAACTATACAACATCAATGGATCGGTAATAATAATAATAATTGTGATATTACAGCTTACAATAATAATATATATGACAGAAACACGTATATATCATAAATCATAATATAATAATAATATACATTATTTTCGTACGAGTGAGACTCAAGCGGCAAGGGACGATATACGGAAAATAAACATCAATAGGTATAAATATTTACAAGCACGTATTTTTTTTCCGTTATCTTATATTATAATAGTGGCATTAAAGTAATAATATATTATAATAATTTATAGTGTCTTATAACATTATATATATGTACAAAAAAAAGGATTTTTGACTCGGTGAACTCCACCCAAACCACTGCGGTGAAAAACGCGACGACCCGAATCCGCGTCCTATGCCTACAATGATAATGGTAGTAATAATAATAATAATATATAAAATTATATTATAATATTATCTCTGTCCTTCCCCTTTCACATATACACTCGAAACCCTCCCACACTCTCCTCTCTAGCACACTCGCTCACCCTTTCTTTCTCTCTGACTCGTTTAACGCGTCATTTATTATCGACACGCGAGCTTTGAACAGTGAAACACCGCGGCGGCACACAACGCGGGTATAAATCACGATGACAACCTATGGCGCCTACGAGTAATAATAATAATAATAATAATAATATTATTGTGTGGAAAAAATGAAGATCAAGAAATTCACTCGACGACGCACGTCGTTATAATACAAATATTATAATAACATTAAGTAGGTACCTACAATAATAATTATTACACTTGCCGCGCGTAGTGGTAACGGCTGCTTGCGCGGTTTTTTTCACTCTGACGATCGTAGAATTCAGGTTTTTACATTTATATTGTTTTTTTTTTTTTTTTAATATTATTGTTTAAACACGCAATTGTATATTAAATACGTGGTGTACACGTAAAGTATATAGTTGTAATAATAATAATAATAATAGTAATAATGATTTTAATCGTGTGTGTACGAAGCCGTTCATCTGGTCAGTTTGACGACGCGGGCCGGCACGTACACGTCGGTGACCAACAGCACCTGAATAGAATGGCACACGAACAACAGGAAAATCGGCAGCAGTCTGGTCACCGCACTGTTGCTGCTGTTGCCGTGTTGCATGGCCGCCGGGTGTTCACCTGCCAAAGTCAGAATTTTCGTTATTATTATTGTTATTATTGCTGTTGTTAGGAAGGGGTGTTGTTATACGTGTGCAAATATCAATTTTAATATCGAAGAAAGGTGTGCAAATATTTTTATAAGCAAAATTTCAACAAAAAAAAAATTCTGTAAAAAACAAAAAATTTCAATTTTAATTTGTTTTTGCAATCTTTGGAAAAAACGGGTGCCATATTGTTATAGGTATTCCATATTGATTATTTTGAAAAGAAAAAATGTAATTGACGTCACGTCGTCACATGATTAAAATATTTAAAAAATTATAAACTTAGTATACTTTTAAATATATTATGTAATAGTTAACATGATAACACATTATATTTTAACTTTTAAATAAATACAAACATATAGCTTACCTACCTAAGGGGATTATAAATGTTGAAATTGAAAACTTAAGTTGTTATCACGGTGCAGGAACCTATGGGTTTGAAATAACAAAAGACACATTTGGAAGAACGAAACAACACTTTATTAATTATACTGGCTTAATACAGATATATGTATATTTAGATAGTGTGCGTATCCGGTTCATAGTCTGACAAAAACTATCATGTCATCTGTAGCCAGACCAGTTGTCGGTCGTACTCTCGCGAATGTTGAAAGAGATACCTTGGTCGTTAAGATAACGGCTGAGACATACTCCCCCACGAGTCCACTCGACGCGTCAGAACAACCGGTAGCTACTCAACTCTCTGTGGTCTCAATCCACCTTTCCATCGTAGTCAGCTGTTCTGGAGCTAGCTGCTGTGATGGTTGTGGTTGCGGTGGATCCTGGAGGGCCGGAGGTTGCATCCGCAACGGCCTTGTACGTCCCAAACGTCATGGTACTGACTTCACTGTACCACTCAGCAGGGTAGCTCTCGTTCTATCCATGGCTTTGCAGACTCTTGCTGAGACGTCTCCGGTGAAACCAGGCTCGAATAGGGCCTGATCGGTGTGGTTTGCACCTTAATTGGACCTAAAAATCCGGGCAAACCCCCTCGTGAAACCACTTCTCCGCATTTAACAGCAAATGGGCTTTAAAATACATTAAACTCCTTATTGGCAGACATGATTTTCTCTTCTACGGGAGCATCATCTGGTTCTCCTGGAGAATCTTTGATTTTAACTTAAGGGTTCCGGTCTGGTTTGGAGAACTTCAGACCATTTTTTCCTACGTCCATAGATTAATCGATCAGCTCAAGCTGCCAATCTTCGGGGCCTTGATCTCTCGGTCATGCATAATTAAGGCTGATAATTTTCCGGTACTTTTCTTTCCACCCTCGATGATTCATTGCTTCGTGGTCGTGAAATCTTTGTAGTAGAATATGGGCCTTACTCTCCGGGACGACATTTCACTATTTTCTATTCAAGATGGGGAATTGCGATGCATCATAATATTATTGTCCAGAATTATATACAGCTTCAAAAGATGATCGATCATCGCACCATCCTGGAGAGATTACTAACTATCTCCCGAATGTTCAGGAAATTCTGTTGCCACTAACAGATGTCTTTCAATGTGACCGGCAACGTTTCCGTCGTCCTTCTTCAGTGTAATCGCTCCATACTGGGTGATCCTTGATCCAGCCCAAATCACCTTATGATTTTAGATATTGATCTTCAATGACTTTTCGGTCTATCGGACAAAGGAATAGCACGTCGTTGTCTTCGGAAAACTCAGAAAACTCGTAAATTATCGAGTTCGACCGTCCACCATCCGGAGAATTTAAGGTTCTTAGGTAAGATTCCGGCTAAACTTCTTTGCCATCAACGGTTACATCATCACCGCTTGGAAGTTCAGAGTACTGCCCCGAGTGCAAATTCTAGTTCTATAGCCGGTACCAGAGCATCCAACACTTTTGTTTTCCACTTAGACGGTGGCATGTTTTGCTAAAATTGTACACCTTAGATTGGACAAGTAATTTTATTAAAAAAATAATTAGAATAAAAACTATTAGGAACCGGTATGATTAGATCACCTATTATAAGTTCTTTGACCCAACATTTCTAATTTACTTTAATTTACGTAAAATTAGCACTTACCTGGTTATTTTCTCAACTGCGTCCTCATAAGTGCTCTGGCTGTTTATTAACAATAGATACGTTTGGAAGAACAAAACAACACTTTATTATATAATGGATTAATACAGAGATATGTATATTGAGATAGTGCACGTTCCCCATCGAAGGTCTGAAAAAAGCTTCCGTGCCGATGGGTGGCCCGGCGGCTAGATCGGTTGTCGGTCGCGCATTGCGTCGAAAGAGACGTGATAACGACGGTAATAACTGAACACGGGCTTAAAATTTTAAAAACTAAATAATGTTCTTTAATATATTCTTAAATGTCATCAATGATATTTAATATAATATCATTGCAATATATTATACTAAATAATATGTATGTTATTTTGCAGAAATATGCAAAAGTATGCTACATTTTATCACTAGAATCGAACATACATATTGTATCGCAGAATAATTCTTCAAATTCGAATATTAAAAATAAATACATTTATTTCGCATATAAATACCGGTCATTATTACTATATCTACTATACTATTATTACTACTATCATTATTGTGTTTATTGTTACACCCACCATGTAGCTATACTAGATATGATTTTGTACAAATTATGTGTTTACTGAGCGAAATGTAATTGCACTGTACGCGTTTGAATATAAAATTCTGTATAATATTAACGTGATATCAAAAATACAATTATTATAACCTAACCTAAATAAAATAATAAGTTCTGATTTTTTTATTCTGAATCGATTATTATTACTGATATAACGTGTAATTATTCAAAGTTGAGACAAGTAAAGCTGTAGATAACCTCTGTCATACCGATCAGTTTATTTTAAAACATCGATAGTTGATGAAAATAGTTAAAAACATTTCTATTTAAAAAAAATAATATTTTTCCATAATATGATACAAATATTGTACTCCGATCTACACTTGTGTGAATCCACTTCAATCACAAACGGAGGGGTGTTGTGAAGGCGTGACGATTTTTTATCTCCATGAATCCCCCCCCACCTTTGTTGCAAAATCTAATTTATAAAACTAATTTTTAACTTTATAGTTTATTGGAAAAAGCTCATTGAAATTATAATTTATAGTTTTTTTTATGTAATTTAAATTTCGCAATAACTCAACTATCAAAACTAATACAATATTCTTGAAAATATTTTCCACACTGATAATAGGGAAATTGGATGAGAAGAAGAACTACTTTAAATAATAATAATAATAAGAAAAAAAACAATAGTGAAGGTTCACGTTGGATGGGTACTTTTATTTAATCTTCCAACCTTTGTTCCTTTGACACGTTTTTATTAATATAAGATGTACCTATTGTACAAATATTCATGTATGAATTGTAAAAATAAATAAAAAAAAGTATCGAATACCTACAAAAGTACATAACCACATTGAGTATACGACGCAATTACATTCCTTCACGATTCTGGCCATATTATATGTTAAATTATGTACCTATTTCAATTTAAAACAATACTCCGTGTTCAACTATCTAACTCTATAGAGGTGTAACTAAAATATTTACCTGCCCAGTAAGTGCTTTTGGAAAAAATAATTTTGTAGGTATCTGAAAATGAAACTAATACAAATTCTCTCCCCCACTTCTCAGATAGTATACATACAAAATCAATCCCAATAAAAAATATATGTAATGCTTTTTAACTTTATCCGAAATCGAAGGGTTAGTATAATTTTACATCTATGATTAACGATCGCAAAACTCAAAAATAATAATCTATCTAAATAAATATTTAACTATATAGGCCAAATAACACTCACACATTCATTGCTGAATCTCAAATAATACAAAACAAACGAACTTGAAATTTGGAATAGAATGGTTCATCTAATGATATAGTTGTGAAATAAGAAAGGATTTTCCGATATTCTCATAAGAGATGATTAAACAGGGATCTTGGGATTCAAGGTGGAAATAGATACTTTTTTTTGTTTATAAACAGTTTCCATTATTTTCAGATTATAATAGTAACAGTAGAAATTAAAATTATTATTATTTTTTTTGTATATAAAATATGGTTGCCATTGGTTACTGGGGTAGATCAGGTACAAACATGCATCAAATTGTCGCACTTTAGGCCTTGAATAAGGAAACTTTATATTAAAACCGAATTATGTATGTGTAAAGCTTTTATTTTAAAGAACAACTCAATTAAATTTGACGAAAATCTCAGAGATTGTTTTTTTTTCGGAACAGTTTGGAGAGTAGGTAGTTTAAACCACATTAAAAAATATACCAAGAGCTAAATCCAATCTGTGACTTGCGATTGTCCATCTAGGTCAAATTATTTCACAAAGCTGAGTAAACTGACGCCGATTTGTCCGTGAACTGATGTGCACTAAAACGGAAATACATTCAAACCGATATACATCTGTCACCCACACAGCGTAAATATACTATATAGGATTTGTAAAAAAAAAAAAAACTGCACACGGGCAAAGTCGGGATATTCAGCTATATATAATTGTGCAGCAAAATATGTTCAGATTTATTACCTATGCCTAGTAAGTATTAACCTACAAGTGTTAGGTATATCGTTATTATATAATAGGTGATGTAAATGTCTGATTTTGGGATATTTTGATTGAGTTAAAATACATACCTATAAATAATTGATACAATTTAGTAGTGGATTTTTGATTTGTATTTCAGTTGGTAGTTTCATAAAATGATAGAATATTATCATTATTCATTGGTTAATTTTGTTGCTAAAGTAATCGTGTATTATAGTCGGCACGATACAATTATTTATCTCGGGCAAAAATCATTGTTAACTTTGCACTGATCGTGTTAAAATGTGAAGGTTATATTTTACCTGGAATCTCCTAGTACTTGAACTGAAATTTTTTTATAAAACGACAGACAATATTTTATTACCTATGTTATTGACCTGTACACGTTTTGGTAAACAATGATATTCCCAGAAAAACGCGATAAAATTATTTTTTTCAATCACGATAATGATTTTAAATCGACTATAGAGCTGAATTTTATTAATTTTCGACGAGACTTGGAAATCGGACAAACCTATCAGTAGTTAAGGTTACGATGCCGACCCTCCGCCCATGTAATTCGTTTTTGATCGACTTTGTAATTTGGTACGACTATATATTTTCTTTTTTCATAATTAACCTGCGATAGACCTCATTCGTAAATTGATTTGACACGTGTAATATATTTCAATAAACGCTAACACCGAAGAATGTGTTTCGTGTCTGCGCTGAGTCTATATGGTTTTAGTCGTCTGTTAATGATACGATTATTTCAAACGTCTCCGTGAAAAGTTTATCCTACACTTACATTGTGCAGCGTCGGATCACGAATGCCCCACCCCACTCCCTCACAAACTATATTTGTGTATAATATTGTCGAACGAGATTTGCTAAAGGCGTTTGAGAAAATATTGCTAACCGTATATGTAACGTCATTATTCTTGGAATTGTTCGATACGCGTGTCACGTTGTATAAATAAAATATAATACAAATGCATAATATTGTGTAATAATAATAATAATATCATATTATAATATGTTCGTAGGTATTTCGTTTGCCTGTAAAGCGCGAGGTCGGTAGTAAAATATATTTTCTGTAAATTCACTCGAGTAATTATTTTAAACTTTCGATAATTTATTGCGCGATATTATAACATAATAACATAATATATAGGCCGGCGTACAAACATTCGAAACAATAGTGACATTGTAATTTATTTTCAAGCGGAGTCCATGTAGTTACAATTATGTTTCGTTATATTATTTATACGACGTGTATTTTTAAGTGCGTGACATTTCTCCGAGGGTTCGTTTCAAATTGATCGTTACTAGTTTTTCATCGACGGCGCATAGACACTTTTCGAAAACTATTTATTGTTTATTTAATGT